TAATTTAAATGAACTCCATAAAAGGATCTCTACGCCCCTTTTTAGCAGGAAGTAGCTACAGAAGAAAGATCTCTGTCCATTTTCCCAACTTCTGAGTTCATTTTAAATAGAAATTTAATTTTAAACACAGAAAAGGGAGGGGGGATGCCAGGGCGGCCTTGAATCTCCTGGTTTTCTAACAACAGCTAACGTTCAGTCGTGGGCTCTCCCTGCCCTCTCTGCTGCTTCTCCACCAAACCCGCAGCAACCTGCTAGGAAAGATGACGACGCCCGCTTCCCAATCTTTCTAATTTTTTCCCCTTTCTCATACCTTGCCCTTCCTTTTCTCACATGTCTATAATAAATGTGGGGTGGACTGTTAGGCTTGAAGAATTCACCCTCCCAGACTTCCAGCCAAGCCTCCGATGAAACCCACCCCTCTCCCCTTCCTAGGGGTGTTCTAGGCGCTGGAGCCTAGACCCCTAGGGAGATAAAGGACAGGACTGCACAGAGGGGAACTTACTTTCCTTATCCCTCCCAGCTGTTTGAAAACAATTTATTTACTCCCCGCAGGAAAACTGTCTATAAAACCCAAGGCTCTCCCCTCGTCTCTCGTGGACACCTTTTCCGGCCTCCGCCCACCTGCACCCAGCTGCTCAAAACACTCTGCTTGCAGACGACACAATCGCGCAGGGCAGAGGCGGCGGATGGGGCCGCTCTGGGCCGCTCCAGAGAGCAGAAGCCAGAGGGAAGCAGATTGCAGGCAACCGAAGGAAAGGGGTCTGATATGCGTTCATCTTACTTTGTGCTGCCATAGCAAAATTCCACCAAGTGGGCAATTTATAAAGAACATAAATTAATTTCTCACCGTCTGGAGGCAGGGAAGTCCAAGATCAAGGCACAGGCCGGTCTGGCGTCTGCTGAGGGCGGCGCTCTGCTTCCAAGACGGCTCCGGAGGGCAGGAACGCCGGTCCTCGCGTGGCGGAAGGCGGCCAGGGCAGACAAGGCTGAGCTGCTCTCTCAAGCCCTCCTGTAAGGGCACCTGATCCTGTTCAGGAGGACGCAGCCCTCGTGGCCTCATCACCTCCTAAAGGCCCACAGCTCTTAACTACCATAACATTGTCAACACCTGGATTTGTAAGGGCTCACGTGCAAATCGTAGCAGGGTTAAACTGTGTCGCCCAGGGTTGAAGTCTTAACCCCCGGTATAAAGACCCTTGTATACTAGGCTCTGCTTATCTGTGGTGTCAGCTACTCACAATCACCATCCAAAATTATTAAATGGAAACATTCCATGAATAATTCCAAGTCCCATCCCGCCTGGGACGGGAATTATCCCTTTGCCCAGTGCATCTACCCTGTAGGTGCCACCCGCCCATCAGCCACTTGGCAGCCGCCGCGGTTATCAGATCTGCTGTCACGGCTCCGCCGCGCTTGTGTTCGATCAACCCTTACTGTACTTAGCAACGGCCCCAAGCGCCAGGGTAGTGACGCCGGCGATCTGGATACGCCAGAGAGAAGCACCCGGTGAGGAAGGGAGGGAGGCACCGGACAAGCAGCCCTCCCACCCTGAGCTGTGCCCCTGCTGCCCGGCCCAGTCGGATAGAGCTGGGGAATGGGATGCAGGAGCGGCCACTGTCCCCACCTGAGGGCTGTCCGGGCGGCGTGCAGGGTCGCCTGGGTACTGTGGGCTGGAGTGGTGAAGCTGCAGGTGGCAGATGTCTGCGCCCTGTGGGACTCCATTTCCAATGGCAGAGCTGTCCCTGGACGGCTTCCCTGGGAGGGAGGGAGCTGCCGTCGCTGGGGCGGAGCAGCAGGGAGGGAGGGATGCTTTCGGGGATCCCCACACAGGGCGGCAGAAGCTGCCCCCAGGGCCTGCCTAGGGCCGAGGGGGGAAGTTCCATCCTTCCGGCCTCAGCTTTCTCACCCACCGCCCAGCCTCGCCTGGCAGCCGAACTAGCCGGAGGGACTCCCCGGGGCAGGGCCCTGAGCCAGGGTGGGGGCAGCCCTGCGGCCTGGCAGCCCTAGCCTTCCGAAGCGCCCTCGCTTATGCCGTGAATATTCGTGCTGGGCACCCACGGTGTGCCAGGCGCCGCTCTAGACGCTGGGACCCAGTGAGCAAAGCCGCGCAAGAGCCCTGCCTTCCAAAGCAGACAGACGGGAACTGGAAAGGGGCGTCAGGGGGGGACCGTGAAAAGCCTAAGGGGCCAAACGGAGCAGGGCAGGACAGGCAATGCAGGGCCTCGCCAGGGGCCCGGGTCAAGTCGGGAGCCAGGCAGGCAGGCTGGGGAAGCGCGTGCCAGGCAGAGGGCACGGCACGTGCAAAGGCCCTGAGGTGGGGCACGGAGGCTGCACCAGAGGAGGGGCAGGAAATGAACCAGTGCTGGGCCAGTGTGTGTGGGAGTCAAGGACGGCCTTTGGCTCTTGCTGGGCAAGATGGGAGTGACAGCAGGGTTGCGACAGGGCCCCCACCAGGCAGGGGCTGGGCTGAGAAGAGGCTGCAGTGGGGCGGGGGAGGGACCAGGTCGGTGGTGGCTGGAGCAACGCAGGTGAGACAGTGGGGCTGGGATCGAGGTGACGATGGAGCCCATCCCGCCTATGTTCCGAAGGCAGAGCGGGTGGATCTGCTGGCGACCAACAGAGGGCAGGGCTGGCCACCACTGAGGCAGGGAGCCAGGGGCTGGACGGGGCTGGCCAGGGGACTCGGGGGAGCACAGGCATGGAGCAGGGACCGAGGGCAGTGAGACGCGTGGAGCTTGGGTCCTGGGAGCGTCCTTCAGTGGGGAGTGTGGTCCATATCACGTGGCCCTGGGAGGTCCAGGTGATCACAGAGCACCCACTGCATCTGGCCACGTGGCCACTGCTGACCTTGCCCCGGGCAGGCCGAGGGGGGTAGAGGGGCAGGGTGGCGGGGGAGGGGCCTGATTGGAAAGGAGCCAAAAGAACAGGCGTGGACAGGGGACACCAGTGTAGACGGGTCTTCTGCGTGACCCCCCAAGGGGATCCAGAGTCTCCCCTGGGGAGACAGAGTGAGGGGGGCAGGCAGAACCGACTTGAATCGGTGCCCCACTGTCGTGGCCTGGTTGCAGGACGGGGGATGACACACAGAAAGACACAGACAAAAAACACAGACACAAAAGAATTGACTGCAGCCCCGGAAGAAAGCACACAGACACAAAAGACGGTTCAAGACTGCAGCGCTTGAAGCACCAGTCGTTTTATTTTTATACTGTTCAATTTGGCAGGCGTCCCCGCAGCTATTTTCTCACGCCAGCTTCTTTCCCACGGGTCTTCCCCGTGACTTCCCACGGGTCAACGGCACCTGTTTCTCCAGACACAGCACCCTTCGATGCCTGATGCCGTTTGCGGATAACCAGACGCCTGGCTTGCTTGCATGGGCATGAGGAAGACGCGTGCATGCTATCCTCTTGCGTTTGCTGTTTGCGGACACCAAGACGCCTTGGCGTGTGTGCAAAACCGCATGTCGTTGGCCGTGTGTCTGGGGGGACAGTTCCCACTGCAGGTCAGCAAGTCACGTCCTGCTAATTGTGGGAACGAGCAGCGAGCTCTCGTTCTGCTGACTTTGGGTCTCGGCCAATCTGACCCAGGGACGGCTCCTTCACCCCACCCCCCACCAAGCTACACGCCAGGGCAGCTGTGCGGCTGGTCTCCCCGGGGTGCCGTCCCGCCCAGCCCCCCTCTGCCTCTCTATGCCCTGCGGTCACTTCCGAATTCAACCCCACCCTGTGGCCACAGCGGATTGTCCTGGGGTGGCGCTGACCCACTGGCCAATCGGAGACCCTGCACACAATGTCAGGGGCTGGGGCTCGGGGACTGGCCCCCAGTCTGGCTGCTCTTGAAAGGTGCAGGGGGACGCCGGGCAGCTGGAGGAGCCGTGTGCCCGCTGCTGAGAGGGGCCTGCGAGGAGCGGACAGCACCACCTTTGGCTCCGCACAGCGACTGGCCTGCTGAGCTCCTGGGACGTCCCCCATCACTCTGGCCCTACAGGGTCACCTGCCACGTCTGGGGGCTGGGCGGGGCGGCATGTGGAGGGCACTGTGGGCTCTCTCCTGGTTCCCTCCCTCCCTGGGGCGGGGTCTGGACCCCGGCTTCCCTCTCCGGTGCCCTCCGGGCTGCCCCGGCCACTCCCAGGGCCTCTCTCTGAAGGCAAGGACACCAGAGCCGCAGGGCTTGAAATCATCAGTCGAGTTTAATGCATCGTACGCAGGAAAACTACATTGGCATATTTACGACAAACACTTTTTCTCTACCCTCACTATGCACTGGACGGGGCTCCCTGGTCCCAGAAAACTAACAGTCTCAAGACACGGCGGCAGCTGCCCCTCCCGGGTCCGACCTGCCACATCCTCCCGTGACATTTTCCCAAAAGCGAACGCGATCCATCCGAGGAGAAGAAAAACCAACCAACGAGAAAGGAACCTGAAGACAACCTGCGTCGCGAGCGCGCACTTGGCATAGAGAGTGACCGGCACGGAGGCACGCGCCTCACGCGGGTCACCCTGTTCATCAATAAAAGAATATAAAAATCTTGTTCAACCCAGTGTGAGTGTATTAAAATAGATCTGTGTCGTACAGCACAGTTTCTCCCGGAGTCCTGATGAGGACAGGAGGGACCGTGGCCGTCCGCGGGAGCCGGCCGCCTCCTCGCTCTGCTGCATGCGTGTCTGTGGCCGCGTGCAATGCACACATGTGCAATGCACACACACGCACGCACGGTCAGTGCAAATCGGCACCATGTGATACGCTGGGGGAAGGGGAGGAAGGGGAGCCCTGCGGCCCCCAGACACTCTTCCCGTTGTGCTCAGTCCCTCGGGACCGGAGAGGCTGGTGGGTGTGACGGCCCCGGCCCCCAGGAGCCCTTGTACCATGGCGGTGTGGGGGCTCCACTCTGCCAAGGAGGGGAGACAGCAAGAGCAGGGGACTCTCCTGTCCCCAAGGCCAAACCCTCCCGCCCTGACCGCCCCCCTCCACCCTCCACCCCAGTTCCTAAAGAAGCCTGGGTCCCGCCGGGTTGGCCAGCCTGCCCGAGGGGAGGTCCGCCCACGCGGGCCCGGCAGCCAGGGCACCGCGAGCAGAAAGAGAAGCCAGCAAGTGTCCCCCTTCACATTAAGCATCTTACGATAAAAACGCCATACAAAAATGTAAAGTTATTTTTTGGCATAGTGTCTGTACCGGCAAGAAAAGAGGAGTGGAATACTTAGCGGCTCTTCGGGAGGAGAAAGTAAAAGGCTTCGGTCGTTACGCTGGGCGGTTCGACCCGAAACAGTAAAGCCCGCCGATGCCACCCCCTGCACGGCTGCGGCTCCGCCTCGCCCAAAAACTCCATGGGAAAAATACGGTGGCAGCAAGATGAGTCCAGGAGACCAGCGAAAGGACGGAGGCGAACCTGGAACCTCGGAGAGGCTCGGAGACGGGGCGGAGGCCCGGCAGGCAAACCCGGCGGGCGCCGTGCTGGGACAAGGCCTCGGAGAGGGGCTCTCGAGTTAAACAGCTGCAGTTCCCCACCCTAGTAATACTGACGCCAGCGGTCGGGAGGCGAGGGAGAGGCCTGGGCCTGGCCCGGCCCCCGCGGGCCTTCGAGCAGGGAGGGCTCAGGAACTACCTAGACCTGCTACCCAGCTCCTCCCGGCGCGCGACCAACTACCTCTACTACTCAGCTACGCCACGCGTCCTCAGGGCCCCTCCCGGCGTGCAGGGCGGCGTGCCCGGCCCCCTTTCCGCGGGACGGTGAGGCCACAGAGAGGGCTGGGCCCGGACACCGAGGCCCGGGCAGCCCCCAGATGGTGGGGGTGGGGTGCGGGCCTACTGTGCGCCCCCGCGTGTGGCACCCCACCTGGCTCCCAGGTGTCCCCTCTGAACGCGAAGGGCACGGGGCCCTACCGGCCCAGCTCCTCTCCCGTGTCTCTCTCTGGCACATTTTTGTCTGAAATTCAGTGTTTATGAATTAAGGCCGACAGAACCCCCAGACGTGTGAGCAGGGCTCCGGTAACTTTCCGTGGTGTGAAGACAGGTCCCTCGGGTCAGTTGTGGCCCTGGGGGTGCTGGAGGGTGGGGTGCACGGCTGCCGCCGAGGGCTTGGTCCAGGGCCCGGCCAGCAGCGGGGCGGGGCTGGTGGTCGTCATGGTGACCTGGAGCATCTGCTCGCCCTGTATCAGTCTCAGGAGGGCCCGGAGGCGGTCCAGGGACGACTGGGTGCCCCTCTGGCGGGCCAGCAGGCTGGTCTTCAGCTCCAGGCATTTCTGTCGGGGGAGAAGGGCAGAATGGAGGTCTCAGAAGCCAGCGCTACAGCGTCCGGGTGGTCACCCTCGCGGCCTCGCTCTCGCAGCCTCTGCCGTCCGCCCAGGGCCCGACAGAGACCAGGCCGCGGCCTCCGGAAACCCAGGCAGCAGTGGAGACGGAACCGAACGGCAGCTACAGCCACAGGGCACGTCTATTTTGCAGTTTAGGGCTAAAAATGTGTGCTCGTGCAGCCGCGTGGTGGCTTGCCCGTCACGGCTGTGACGCAGCCACGTCCTCCTCCCAGCCAGAGGCCCCTGCTCCTCCATCGCTCCTCCTCCCCGGGCCGGCAGCTGCGGAAGGCCCCGGCCTGCTGGCTGGCTTCCTCTCCTGTCGCCTCTGTGCTGCCCAGCCTCTGCAGCCCGCCGTGCCACGACAACGAGGTAAGGCAGCAAGGACTGCAGCCTGGAGTCGGACGTCTGTCTGCTCCGGTTCAAACAGTGCCTGGGCAACAGCAACCGCCCTGGACTGTTTCTACAACTACTGCAGGGTGAGCACAAAGCCTCTACACAGGGTTGCTGGGAGCCTTAAATGAGATGCTACATTTACACAGCTTCGCTAGGGCCCAGTACTGCTGTCACCATCACCACCACCACCATCACCATCACCACCAGCAACATCACCACCATCACCACTGTCACCATCACCACCACCATCATCACCATCACCACCACCACCATCACCATCACCACCACCACCATCACCACTATCACCACCACTGTCACCACCACTGTCACCATCACCACCACCAACATCACCATCACCACCACCATCACCACCACTGTCACCATCACCACCACCATCACCACAACTGTCACCATCACCACCACCAACATCATCATCACCACCACCATCACCATCACCACCACCACCATCATCATCACCACCACTATCACCATCTCCACCATCATCACCACCACTGTCACCATCACCACCATCACCATCATCATCACCACCACTGTCACCATCACCACCATCACCATCATCATCACCACCACTGTCACCATCACCACCACCACCACTGTCACCATCATCACCACCACTGTCACCATCACCATCACCACCACCACTGTCACCATCACCATCACCACCATCACCATCATCATCACCACCACTGTCACCATCACCACCATCATCACCACCACTGTCACCATCACCATCACCACCACCATCACCACCACTATCACTACCACTGTCACCATCACCACCTCCAACATCATCACCACCACCACCATCACCTCCAACACCACCATCACCATCACCACCACTGCCTCCAACATCACCATCACCACCATCACCATCACAACCACCATCACAACTGTCACCATCACCACCACTGTCACCATCACCACTACCACCATCACTGCCTCCAACATCACCATCACCACCACCACCATCACTGTCACTGCCTCCAACATCTGTAGGGGACTGACATATATTTTCCTAGTTTAAGAATTAAATTTAGTGAGTAATGTACGTGTTCTGCCCAGAGTGTTTAAAAGCAATGTGCTCCGGACAAGGTCCTTGTGACAAACAAGGCTGTTGCCTAGAGGCATAACAAAGGACCTGAGCTGCAAGTAAGCAAGAGCTGCCCAGCCCCATGGCAATGGGGTCTGGAAGCCACACGATAAACACATTGTTCCTGTGATTGCTGCTCAACCCCCATAAGGTGGCTGGTTAGTCAATGACAGGTAAGACTCCACAAGAAAAGGGGTGACCTAAGCCATGCACAGCCACCGGAGGTCAGCCAAAGATCTTAGGGGGTCACCCTAAGAGAAGCTGGGGGTGAGAAATGCCCCCTGTGGCTTGCCTTGCTCATCCTTGATAATCTCGGTCCGTGATCTATGCCTAGTGCCTAGAGCAACCACCTGGAAACTCTGAGCCAGGGGATATCTGCTTCCCTAAGGCTACATATTCCAGAATTAAGGCCATTGCTGAAATGCCTGAGTGGTTATGTACAGGGAACTAACTTTAATTTTTTAGAGTATAAAAATAAAACTGACCCGGTGTATTGGTACTTGAGTCAACCGTCTGTATGTGTGTCCTCGTTTTTCTTTGTGTTCTGTGTTTTTGTTTTGTGTTCTGTGTTCATCCTCTGTCCTGCAAATGGGCCACGACAAACATCACCACCATCACCATCACCACCTCCAACATAACCATCACCACCGTCACCACCACCACTACCTTCACCGTGATCATCACCACCATTACTACCACCATCACCACCATCACCTCCAACATCACTGGGATCACCATCACACCACCACCACCATTACTACCTCTACCGTCACCATCACTACTATCACCATGATCATTACCACCATCACCTTCAACACCATCATCATCACCATCACAGTCACCGTTGCAACATCACCATCACCACCTCCAACATCACCATCACTGTCACCATCACCATGATCATGACCACCAGCAACATCACCATGATCACAAGCACCATCACCACAATCATCATCACCTCCAACATCACCATCACCACCACTGTCACCATCACCTCTACCATCACATGATCATTACCATCATCACCATCACCTCCAACATCACCGTGATCACCAGCACCATCAGCATCTCCACCATCACATCACCGTCACCATCACCATAACCATCATCTTCATCATCTTGCTTATCACCACCCTGTGGAGGAGGAATTACATTTGCTTTACACCAGAGGAAACTGATGTTCAAGGTCAGGGCCTTGCCGAGGTCAGAAAGCTGAGAAGGGGCGGAGCCAGGATGTTCTCAGTTGCTTGGTAAGTGTTAACTGAGCGAATCACAAGCTGCCCTGTCCACCCACAGACTCGCTGAGGGATGCCTGGTGGGCCTGTCTTCCTCCTGGGCCTCAGTAACTCAACAATGAAGCTCTGGATCTAAGCCTGGTAGTTCTACAGGCGGTGCCCTGCTGAACCCTGGACCACTCACGGCCGAGGCCAGCTGGATCCACACCCGGGCTCTAAGGACACACTCCCGTCCCCCGCACACCTTCACGGCCGAGGCCAGCCGCCGGTCCTGCTCCTCCAGCTGCTGGTGCTCATTCTGCAGCTCGTTGCCTCGTTGTAGCAGCTTCTGCTTCTCCTCCTCTTTGACTAGGAGACAGAGGGCCAGGCCCAGCGGGGAAGGCAGGTGAGCAGTGGCTGGGCCGTAGGGTGACCCAGAGACGTAGAAGGAACGGAACCAAGGCCCAGGTCACCGTCCCTCCCCGTCCCCTCCCCCAACACCAAGCAGGAGCCAGTGGCTCTGGTCAAATGCCCCGGGACTGGAACTGCATGCAGGGCCGTCCCAGGGGCCCTCTTCAGAGCGCTGGCCTGCAAGAGCCTGGACCCGTCCAGCCTCCCAAAGGCCCAGAGTGAACCCAGAGGCCGGGGCGGGGAGGATGGCGACGGGGAGCAGGCACCCTTCCCACCCCATAAGGACTCCTCACCTGTCTTGTGGGTGACGTAGGAGTGCACGATGGCCAGCATCCCGGTCCAGGGCACACCCTCATCCTTCTTTAAGGCCTGTGGGGCAGACGGGGAAATGAGAAAGTGGGGAGCACCCGGGAGCTGCTGGGGCAGGCCGCACCAGCCTGTGCAATCCTGGGGTAGGCACGACCTCTCTGAGCCACAGGTCCCCCAACACCAGGGGATGGGGCCACACCTGCCTCGTGGCCTGGCTCATGGAGGCTGCTCAGTAAGACGAGGGCAGGAACCGTCTCGGTTTCTCTCCCCGCTCATCACCAGGGCCTGGCACAAGGAGAGGCTCAAATACCTCCCGAGCGAATGAACCAACAGCTGCTTTTCTTCTTCCCATGTCCAGGTGAGCCAGGGACACATGGGGAGAGCAGTGGGGGCCACCACTGTGCTCACGCAGGGGCAGAATCTTGCTCAGTCTCCACAGCCCCTCAAAAAGCTGCGGACCCTCCAGGCAGTGACAATGCAGGGGCTGGTGGCCCCCACAGGGGACAGCCCCGCAGCAGCACCCAGCCCACCATATATCCACCTTCCTTGGTCCCCTGGGATGATGGAACTCACGGTTCACAGTCACGCATGCTACGGAGAAGCACCCTAGAACTAGCCTCGCCACTGCCGCCACCCGGCCCCAGAGGGGTCCCCCTGCGGCATTTTCTCCCGGGTTCTTTACTCTGCAGTTTTTCTCAGACGGCTGATTACAAATGATACAGCAGTCTAATCTGTATAGTTTACAAAGCCTGCTTTTTATTTTTATAACGCAATCGCATAGAGTAGACACGTCCCAAACAATGTCACTGCTGCAATACGTCATTTTCTTTCTTTTTCAGACAGAGTCTCGTTTTGTTGCCCAGGCTAGAGTGAGTGCCGTGGCGTCAGCCTAGCTCACAGCAACCTCCAACTCTTGGGCTCAAGCGATCCTCCTGCCTCAGCCTCTCGAGTAGCTAGGAGTACAGGCATGCGCCACCATACCTGGCTAATTTTTTCTGTATATATTAGTTGGCCAATTAATTTCTTTCTATTTATACAGAGATGGGGTCTCGCTCTTGCTCAGGCTGGTTTTGAACTCCTGACCTTGAGCAATCTGCCCGCCTGGGCCTCCTAGAGTGCTAGGATAACAGGCGTGAGCCACCGCGCCCGGCCCGTCATTTTCGATCATTAGTCCTCGCTGAGCGCAGAGCTGGGATTTATTTCACCACTGCGTGCTGTCGGGGAGTCGGACCGTTTCCATCTTTCCCTCGTGTACATAACCCGTGAGGGGCTTCTCCGTGCTCGACACTCTGTAACCCTGGGACATCTCCTTAGCCTGGACGCCCCATGTGCAAAGAGGCCACGTGGAGAGAAGGTGGCAGCCGGCATCTCGTGGGCGGGGCCAGCGATGCTGCTAAATCTCCCGCTGCACAGGATGGTGCCCCGGTCAGGGGTCACCCAGCCCAAATGCTGATGGCGCCAGGGCTGAAAGAGCCTGCGCCGCGCCCACGCCCCACGTCTCACCCCTCCCCCGCCCTCCCCGTCTGCCCACAGTGGGGACGCCCGGGAAGCTGATGTCACGGCCCATCAGAGCCTGAAGTCCAGGTGAGGCCCAGGTCCGGGGTGAGGGGCCACGCAGCCTCCGTACCTTCTGCTGGCACTTGGGGCACACCCACATGCCCTTGGGCGCCGTCTTGAGGGGGGGGTCCAGGCAGCTGAGGTGGTAGGCCCCCGGGCAGGTGCCGCAGGGCTGCAGGTTGGCCCCGCGCTTGCAGGCGGCACAGTGCTCCTCGTGGGTGATCTCGCTCTGCAAGAGAGGGGGGCGCAGGTGGGCCACCGGGCCGGGCCCAGGCAGCTGCCGCCCCAACCCCCTCGCGGCCGGTCTCCTGCCAACGTCTCTCAGCAAGCAGCTCTAGGGAGAGAGGGACAAGCCCTGGAGGGTGACAGTACGGGGCAGGACTGGGCCCCGGGGGGGAGGAGCTGCCTGACGCGCAGGATTCCAGAGCACCTGCCGGGCCACAGCCACTAGGGGCTGGGGCCCCTGAGCGCTGGAGTCGGGCTCGACGTGACTCTGGCGTCCTGAACCTTCCGTGCTAAGACCTGGCTTGGGCGTGGGTGACGGGAAGGGTGTCCTGCTGTGGCATAGGCGACAGCCCCCCTCGGGGTCTGCTGCTCGGTATCATATTCTGGGCATGGGGCCCAGCCTCGGCTCACACTGCCTCTGGGAGGGAGAGGCCTCGGCCAGGGACAAGGTGCCCGCACTCCCCGTCCCCTGGCAGCGCCCCTGGACTCCTCCCAACAGCACATCGCTCTAACCTGAGACCCCACCTCCCGGGCGTTACTGCCTCCCCCCAGTTTCCACGTCTGTAATGGGGCGACAACACCTGCCCCACGGGTTGCTGGGAGGACTCAACAGGACGAAGCACTTGAAGCGCCCGACTCACACCAGCTCCGCGCAGGAGCACCATAGAGGGCAGCTTCCCCCTTTCCCGGGGACGAGAGAATGTCACATGTCCCTCCTACAGAGTCACCATCATTTGGTCGGTCAGTCTCTGCTTACACACCTCCGGGGACAGGGAGCTCACTACCTGTACGGCCAGCCTGCTGCACCGTGGGCAGCCCAGACTGCAAGTGAGGCCAAGGTTTCACGACCCCACACGTCCCATGACCTGCAAAATCTGAACGATCTCCCCCCACCCAACGGAAGCCCTCCTGCAAGTTACATCTGTTCTCTGCGTGTGTCACCAGCACCTTCCAACTTGAGACCTGGGAGAGACCAGAGGGCTCTCCTCTGGGACGGCCCATGCGACAAGGACGCTGGATGTCCCTGCAGGAGGGGGCAGCATGCTCAGATGAGGCCTCAGAGACCCCCGTCTACACCCTTCATTTCAGTGCAAAGGCCCAGGGAGGGTGAGGCAGCTGTCTGACGTCACAGAGCAAGTCAGGACCAGCATCCGGGTCTCCCGCCTGGAAGCCAAGGCCCCTCCAGGACTGTGGGCTCTGTCGGGACAGGGCGCGGGCTCCTGTCCCCACACCTGCCCTGGCTGAGCACAGGGTGTCTGTGGACGACCCTGCTGGGCCCACAGCGCCACTCGGTGCCATGCAGGAACACAACACGGCCACCCGGAGTTGGAGCCACCTGTGACAATTCCTTGAGGCTGGACCATTGCAAGCACGCAGAGGCTAGACAATTCTTTTAGAACTGGATCAGAAATTTAGCAAAGAAAAGCGCTGAATAAATTCTGAGGCCATGTCCCCGAAGGAGGTCACGACCAGCCCCTGTCCTGGGAAGCAGGGATATAGTGTGTGGGGGGGCCTCACAGGATCCTAGAACCGTGGCGTGTGGGTGGGACCCTGGGCACTGGCGAGTCCAGCCCCTTTCGGGGTGGGCAACGGAGGACCAGAGAGGGCTGGTCCCGCCCAGGGTCACACAGTGAGGCCAGCTGGCTGCTTCTGGTCGGGCCTTCGTGCCCCCGGCTCCCTGCATCCCCAGGGCTGAGCAGGGAGGCACCTGTTTGAACCTGAGCACTGAGCCTTGAGCAACGCCCGGCTCTGCCCGGCAGGCTGGGAAGCGGACGGGTGTTGTTCAAAGTTCTCGGCACCCAGGGTGGACCCCAAAGGCTTTTCCGCTCCGCTCCAGGGCCCCTCCCCTCTTTCTGGGAGTGACCCTCCTGGACTGCACTGAAAACATGCCCCACCCCCAGGTGTGAAGACGGAGGGGACACATACCTTCCAGCAGGGGTCCTCATTGGCTGGCACAGGGAAGAAGGGCGGAGAACGTGTTAGTGGGCACTGGAGGAGCACAAATCAGGACTGGAGTCCACGAGGCCTCATGTGGCAGGGGCTCTTGCCCCAGGGCATGATGGGAGTATCCCAAAGTGCTACCTGGGACCTCATCCCAGATCGAGCATGATGTATCGCAAGGTCCCCATCCTATGATACCTGAGTTCTCACCCCAGAGCATGATGGGAGCACCCCAAGGCCCCCATCCCATGATGTCTGAGTTTTCACCCCAGGGCATGATGGGAGTATCATAAGGCCGCCAAGAGTTCTCACCCCAAAACTCTGCCTGAGTTCTCACCCCAGGGCATGATGGGAATATCTCAAGGCCCCAGTGATGCCTGGTTTTCACCTGAGGGCATAATGTGAATCCCACAAGTTCCCATGACACCTCGGGTCTCACCCCAGAGCATGATGGGAGTATGGGTCTCTGCCCTGGGAACAGGCTCTTCCGAGGCCTATGAGCTCACATGGTGGCAATGAGCTGCCCAGTGGAGGGAACCATCACGCCAGGGACCCTGTCAAAGTGACTTATTTTCAACTTTTTTTGAGCTACAACCACTCTCATGCTAGTAAATGATGTCAAACCATATATTTTAATGATCACAAAAATGATTTTCCGTTCAGGTTCTGGGTCAGACCCGTCCAATAACAACCACTGGGAAGAGCAGGTTCTGTGTCTGCACAGTAACCGACAGCTCACCAGGTGCTGTCATGCTCCCCATCACTGTCCCCGCTGAGAAGCAGGTGGCTACAGACCATTTTATAGATCAGCAAACCAAGGCCCAGGGAGGTACGGGACTTGTTGAAAGCTACACAGAATCCCGGAGAACACATGGCCTCCCGCTGCTGGCTGTGCTCACGGGTGTGGCTGCCCCAGCCTTGCAACGGGGGAGGGAGCAGGGAGCAGGGAGGAGCCTAGCGAACTCGGAGGGGGGCCTCAGGCCAGGCCAGCCTGCAGAGCTGAGGGCCTTGCTGAAGATCTGGCCCAACGCCTTGTCGTACAGAAAGGGCCCAGGCCCAGAGGGGGAGACCCAGCCCTGGCCACACAGGGAGTCAGAGGCAGCGCCGGGCTGCCAGCCCAGCACTCCCAAGTCCAGCCCGTGCTCTCTCAGTGCCCAGCTCGGGGACACGGGGGTGGCGAGACGTGGGCCGAGAACCTCCAGCCCAGGCCCGGAGGTACTAGAGCTGCCGCGTGTCGGGGAGGAGAGAGGCCCCCCAGGGCTGTCTGGAGGGCAGGCAGCCCCTGGGCGGGCCACGCGGTCAGAGGCCACGCGTGCAGGCCACGCCCAGACCTGTGGCCCAGGCTGCAGATGGAGTTTGAGGAGCGGGGAGGCAGGAGCTCCTCCCAGCGCAGCTTCCTCTCCCTCCACCCAGCTCAGCCCCTGCCGGGTGGGCCCAGCCCTGCCCAGGCCCAGGGGTGCGGGACCAGCCACAGCCAAGTCTGCCCCGGCGCTGGAGCGGCTGTGGCAGAAGCCACGGGCCGTGGCTGGTGCTTACCTCTCGCTGTGAGGAACAGGGGGTTGTTGAGATAGTTGGAGGCCAGCCGCTTCCTCTGCAGGGGACAGAAAACAAACAACACACCCCGTCATCCGGAGCCTCTCAGCTCGGCCAGCCTGACCCAGCACCCAACCCAAGGCGGGTTCCGTGCCCGGGCGCCAGACTGCAGCCGGACGCCCCCGTGAGAGGCAGAGACAGGGACAGACACCAGGCAGGGCCCAGGGACGCAGGGGCAGGGAGGGGAGTCAGCCAAGGCCCGTGCTGCTGGATGCTGAGGATGGCCAGACTGCAGCCGGATGCCCCCGTGAGAGGCAGAGACAGGGACAGACACCAGGCAGGGCCCAGGGACACAGGGGCAGGGAGGGGAGTCAGCCAAGGCCCGTGCTGCTAGATGCTGAGGACAGCGACCTCTGCTCCCCTGGCTTCACTTCGGGAAAGACACGCTAGCGATTCCCGAGGTGGGCAAACCAGCGGCAAAGCTGACGTTGCGTTCTCCGTCTGTCTCCTGCATCTTCTTCCTCCACCAGTACCGCAGCCAGGTGGGGAGAGGGGGACCGTCACAGATGCACTCCCTAAGAGCCCACCTCTTGGCATGTGGTCCAAAGCATCACATGTAGATGACGGTTTTTTCTGGTTCATTCCAGAAGGGCGGCTTTAGTCCTGTGGCAACCACAGGCCACCCCGGTTCAGACCTTGGGGGCTCGAAGTGGCTTTGGCTGTGCCAGGAAGATGGTTCTAGAATTGTGTGACTGGACGTAAAACCATCTCTCCATGTGGTCAGGCTGTGTTCAGGGCCAAGAGAGGGACCCGGGAAAGGGCCCCTCTGGGGTTATGTGCTTGTCCAAGGCCCAAGGTCACGGGGCCTTGAGGTGACTTGCACAGGTGGTCTCTGGCCCTGGCACGGACCAGGGTGATGCCTCACCCGCCCACAAAGCAGTGGACAGTTTCATTAACGAACAAATCAAACGGAACGAGGCCCTTATTGTGTACAGAGGACACGCCATTTCCTTGGGTAGAGGGGGAGGAAAACCTCTTCTTAGGCAAGATCCCAGTTTGGGGACAAGGCCTGCTCAGAAGGTCAAGGAGGCGGTGAACGGTACCAAGCGGCCAACATGGAGCATGCTGTCGAACAGCAGCAGGGGGATGGGCGAGGAGGGAAGGTGGGGAGAGGCTGACAAAGCCAGAAGACGCCCGTGGGTGGGCCTCTGCCAGGACAGGGCAGTCGCAGGACTGGAACTGGCCACTGCTCCACGGGAGACCGTCCGTCCCGGTTGAGTTCAAGTTCAAGTTCACGGATTCTGAACCACTGGCCCAGGCTGACCAACATCCTGGGGAGGTGGAACAGTATTTTCTTCATCCTTCCTCCAGATCTTACAGCCTGAGTCTGGAATGTGCCACGCACTGGCCTCTGGGGACAGTTTCACCCAGGACAGCTGTCCCACGCTTTGGATTTCAGGGCCCTAAGGAAATGACCTCCTTCCCAGGGAAGATTCTAGGGTGCTGCCCCTACAAGAGCCCTGAGTCTCTGAGAAAAATGCCCCGATGGACTCCACAGAGCTGGCTTTTAGGGAGGTGACGTTGGAATGCTAGACTTTAATTTACTAGGGCAGGAAGATTTCATTCCCGATTCGTTTTCTCCCCGGGAACGTGCCAACGGGAGGGGCCGGGTGCTCAGGCATCTCCAAGTCCCAGCCCTGAATTACCGGACTGTCGTGGTCACCACCTGTTGGGCTGCCGCGGACAGCGGGGGTGGCACATAGTTTGGGATGGGGCCTGGATCAGGGAATTCCTTGCCTTGGAGGTTAACTTTTAACGTCCTGTTCTGCTTGAGTCAGAGCTGTGGGGGGGGGGGTCCCACCAGCAGCCCTGGGGGCACACGAGGAGGCAGGGGTGGGAGCACACGCAGGGGACCACAGGCTCAGCCCAATCGCAGCGGGAGCGCCAGCAGGCACAGTCTCGGTCCCCTGGCTCCACACCGAGGGACTTCAGCTAGAGTCATGGCTGCCCCTCCCCCTCCTCGGGGATGGACGCCCCAAATGGGCGTGCAGGGGAAGGAACCAGCCACTCCTAGCCCAGCCCAGCCCCTTCTGGGCCTCTCTGTCTGGGGCCAGCCTGCCCCACACCGTGCACGTCCTGAGCTGACCAGACAGGCTCTAGACGAGCCCGGGAGTCCAGCCCTGCTTGTGACAGGGCTCGCCTGTCCTGTCAGGGTGAAGAGCCAGGAGGCCGGTGCATGGGCATCTAAAACACGCTCCCTGGAGCAGCTCGATTTAGGGACACGACTGACATTTTCATCCTCTGCACCTGCTATCTGTGGACTCTGAACTCCGCAGGGGAAGAGACTACTGACAGGCAGTCCTGAGCCCGCTGCCGGGAGGGGACGAGGGAGGCAATCAGGAAAGAGAGCTGGGGGGGCAGGGACCCCCTGGAGGCTGCGCACTCGGGCGCCTCCCCCCTGGTGGCACGGCTGGCGGGTCCCCACCTCGGTCTCCAGGAGGCCGCTGTAGGCAGGGTTGGCTGTGCTTCTTCTCTTCCGCTCCTGTCGCTTGCTCTGTATCTCTAGAAAGACGCGGACACAGCGGTTACTGGACACTACCCCGCACCCTTCCTCCTCACCAGGCCCCGGCACCACCGTCCCTCCTGCTCCGAAGCCTGTCTGTCCAGCACAGTGGCCTGGGGCGGCCCGGGGCCTCCAGGAATCACCATGCCACGACAGGGCAGCCGGGTGACCTCGGGCTGAACCATGGATCGGGGGAGGATGGCAGATTCCCAGAATCCAGGGACCCACTCTCAGCACGGGGTCCCCCTGGTGTGTCATCATCTGGCTCACAGCTGTGTCTTGGGGCAGCAGAGGCCCCTGGTCAGAGGCTGTTCTGCTGTGCGGCAGCGTGAGGCCCCGGCTCCCTGGGGGGACCAGGTACGCCAGCTCCCAGGCAGCCTCCGCCTGCACGCGGCCACGTCTGGTGGCAGATGTCCCGTCCACAGGCCAGCCTGACGGTAGGGAGGTGGCAGCTTGTCACACTCATGCCATGCTCACCTGGGGACCCGGCCCTGCTCTGGACGCTTCACAACAATCCCACAAGGAAGGTTCGGTTATTGTCTCATTTTACGGATTAAGAACCCAAGGCCCACAGAAATTAAGTGACTGGCCCACGCTTGAGTGGTTAGGAAATGGTCCAAGTGGGCAGTCTGCCTCTTGTCACTTCACTGAGCTGCCTCCAGTGGGAGGACGGGGCACCCCCAGGGCCCCTCCACGCAAACAAGAAAGTGCCATGATGGGTCGGGCGCGGTGGCTCACGCCTGCAATCCTAGCTCTCTGGGAGGCCGAGGCGGGCGGATTGCTCGAGGTCAGGAGCTCGAAACCAGCCTGAGCAAGAGTGAGACCCCGTCTCTACTATAAATAGAAAGAAATTAATTGGCCAACTAATACATATAGAAAAAATCAGCCGGGCATGGTGGCGCATGCCTGTCATCCCAGCTACTCGGGAGGCTGAGGCAGGAGGATCGCTTGAGCTCAGGAGTTTGAGGTTTCTGTGAGCTAGGCTGACGCCACGGCAATTACTCTAGACTGGGCAACAAAGCGAGACTCTGTCTCAAAATTAAAAAAAAAGAAAGTGCCACGACGGGTTCTGTGCAGCCATGGAGCCAGGGAGGGTGTGGCGGGTTTCTCTGTCTTGTTTACCTTTGATGACAACCAACCAATCCCTGGCACCTGGGGCAGATGCCCAGAGGTGGTTCACACCTGGACGCGGCCTCTGACCGGGGACATCCTGAGAGCCCCTGCAGCCGCACATGCCAGGCTCCACCCCCAAGGACTGCTGCGTGCTGCCGAAGCCCCAGTCTCTCGCCATCGCGCCTGGTCCCACCAGCCCTTTTGGGCCAGCCCCGGCCCCGCCCAGCACGCCGGACGCTTACCTTCCAAGTGTTCTGTCGTAACCAGGCCTAGCGCTACCATGAAGGCGATTTTCTGAGGGAAGGAAACAGACAGAGAGGTGTTAGCGCGGTCTCCACGTTCATCCGCGCATGCGCTCCACAGATGCTCAGTCCTGCAGCAGGTGGAGGGCTAGACCTCGTGGGTGACCCAACCGCTAAAGCCCCACAACTCCAGAGGCCAAGTCAGTTTCTAAGAAACCCCAGGAGACTGTCGGACCCCCAGTCAGAGACCACCCACAGCTCCGTTTAGAGGGCTCCCCGGAAACGCTGGATAAATTCACTTTGCAAACACACTTTAAAGACCTAATGGGCACACACAGTTGGGCCAATTGCAATCACTGGTTCACAATACATCTGCATCATCAGAACCTTCGTGGCTCACTGTTGTCTATTTGATAATAAACTGGTCACCCACGAACCCACTAAGAACTCAAAACCTGGAACGTGTCTTTTCGTTCCTTCCCCCTCCCCCGACAGCAACCCTTCTCCAGAGTTCCCTAGTTACTGTCCCCTTGGATTCTTATGCACACGCACGCACTCTCACCACGTGTGGACGCACACCTGGAGAAGACAGTGCTCGGGGAAAAGGTCACGCTGCTGCGCCGTGCGCAGAGCTCACCATGGCTCTGCCCGGTCCACATTCCTTGTGACGGGAGGTGTAGCCGCCCCGTAATCCCGGTCCCTTCGATATGGGCAGGCCACAGAATGCCGCGGGATCAGGTTACGTCACACGGCAGAGGTGACAGGGCCACTCCTGAGATAGGTTGTTAAATATGACCCTTGCAGGTGACCGAGTGGGACTCTTCTGTGGGCCTTCAAAGAGAACCACGAGTCCTGCGGCCACCGCACCTAAGAGGACCGTCCCACTGCCTTAACACGGCGCCCGGCACAGAGCAGGTGCTCGATGGACACATGCTGAATTTATCCCATTTCTGCGACTCTGGTTTGACTTGCTTGCAGGTGTATTTTCCCAGTTTACGCTTTTATCTTTGGACGTACGGGGCTGGCTTATTTATTTTAGAGCAGTTTTAGATTTGCAGGGACGCAGGGAAGTTGCAAGACGAATTCACCCAGTTCTGCTGTTAACTATGGGACGGCAGTCACAGCTAAAGAACCGATACTGATTACATACCTATTAATTAAAACCCATACGTTACTTGGATTTCCCTTGCTTTTATCTGACGTCCTTTTTCTGACTCGGGACCCCACGTGGCATTTTGTCGCCACGTGTCCTTAGGCTCCTGGCTGTGAGAGTGTCTCAGACCCCCTTGTTTTCCATGACCTGGCAGGGTGAGCAGTCCTGGTCAGGGGGTCTGAGGACGTCCTCGGCGGGGACTTGTCTGGTGTTTCTCTCTCGAGTGGACGGGGCTGTGGTCTGGGGGAGGACTGCAGGGGCAAGGTGCCTTCTCACCGTGTGACGTCGAGGACACAGGCCACCAACCTTACTGCTGGCTGTTGGCACTGACCCTGGTCACCGGCTGAGGTGCGTGTGCCAGGTCTCTCCACCGTGAAGCGACCCCTCCACAACTCTAACTGCACCTTTGGGAGGGAGCGCCGTGCGCAGCTCACGCCTTTGGGAGTCGGGCACCAGGCTGCGGGAGGCTGGGCTGTTTGGTTTTGCGGTCACGTAGATTTAAAAATATGTATATATATATGTATGTTGTAAAATTTATCAGCATTTTCTTTTGCAGTGTTTGGATTCTTGAATCCCGGCTAGAGACTCTAAGGTTTATTTTAGTACCTACAGTTTTACATTTTACACTTAAGTTCTGGGTCCATTTGGAGTTTATCCTGGTGTGCACGGGGTGACGTGTGGATTTGTTTTTTTCCGCGTGGCTACCCATTTGTGCCAATGCCATTAGTTCACAACATGGATGGAAAACTCCATCTTCCTACTGTTCACTGATTGAAGGAGCCACTTTAATCATACACTAAATTATCACATATATATTTGGGCCTATTTCTGGGTCTTCTATTTTGTTCCTTAACCCTTTGCACTCGCTTGCTTTTTTCTCGATTCCTTTATTCTACTTGGGATTTAATTTTTTAAATACCCCAGATTTTACAAAGCGCGGCAGTGGAATAAAAAACTGGAGTTTTGGGCGGATTACTCAAGGTCAGGAGTTCGAAACCAGCCTGAGCAAGAGCGAGACCCCGTCTCTACTATAAATAGAAAGAAATTAACTGGCCAACTAATATATATAGAAAAAATTAGCCGGGCATGGTTGTGCATGCCTGTAGTCCCAGCTACTTGGGAGGCTGAGGCAGGAGGATTGCTTGAGCCCAGGAGTTTGAGGTTGCTGTGAGCCAGGCTGACGCCACGGCACTCACTCTAGCCTGGGCAACAAAGCGAGACTCTGTCTCAAACAAACAAACAAAAAACTGGAGTTTCTTTTCATACAAACTTATTTATTTGGATTTTTTTACATTTCAAATTATTGATACAAAGAGTAATTTTAATCTCTATAATTTTTCTAACCATGTCGAGTCACACTCGACATCCGAGTGCAAAGGGTTAAATCTGCCTCCCTGGGAGCGCGTATTTCCAAGGTCAGAATCCCTTTTCAGGCCTGGAAGGGTCAGAATCCCCTCGCGCCGATCCTTCGAGTTTCCCTGGCTCCTCCTGCTCATTTTTTCATGTGGAATTTAGAAACCATCTTGCGTAGTTCTGAGAACACGAGCATCAGTTGGGAGACTTGCTGGGATGTTAACATTATAAATTAACTTAGGGCATAATGACAATTTTATATCATTAAATTTTCCTATTCAAAACTGGGATGTGACTCTCTGGTCTTGTTTCTTCTTTCTTTCTTTCTTAAGGGATTTAAAAATTTTCCTCAAACAGGTATTGGATATTTTTATGGTATTTATTTCTAGGCATTTAGCTAACTCTTTGCTGCTATGGTAAATTGAGTTGCATATAAAGCTTCTCACAGGATGCCGGGCGTTTCTACGAAGATCAGTGGCGTCTGTACATTCATTTCACACCCGGCCACCATGCCGGATTCTCTAATTGTCTGTAGTAGGTTTTTTTTTTTTTTTATGTCAATTCTCTTGGATTTTTTAGATCATCACGAATACTGCTTTACGCCTTTCCGATTTTTACTTCTACAGTGTTGAGAACAGTTCTCCTTCATTTGTCAGCCCTATATGATATTCTACGATTCGTTCAGCATCTCGGCTGCTAGAGACGCGACAACCCGAGCGCTGCTCGCTGTGCCTCCCATCTTTCCCTGCTCACTCTCAGTTTTACTTAGGCAAGTCTTTTATGTTGTTGGAACACACAATATTTAAATTCTATTCTGACGTCATTATCCTGTTTCCGTTTTGCTCTGTGCTTACATATACCCGAAGCTCACCCAGGTACCAAGCCCACCTTGGTACCGGGGTCTCCCTGGCTGTCCCTCGGGCGTCTGGGGCTGGCCCCTGGTAGCGTCTCATGAATGGCTCGGGGAGCGAGGCTGCCAGAGCTCCTGGCAGACAGAAAACTCTACCTGTAGCCTTTCAACTTGGAGGAACGCTGGGCTGGGTATAAAAGCCCGGCTCCTCCTCCCTTCCCCGTCCCCCTGCAGATGGCGCTCTGCCGCACGGGAGCTGAGCGCGCCGCGGAGAGGCGGACGCCGCTTTTACCCGCTGCCCTCTGAGGCGACTCGACTGTGTTCTGCCTGACGCCTGCGGGATTCCCCCGTTCCCAGCGGCAGCAGCTTTCCCGGGTGGGCCTCCGTGTCCAACACCCTCCCCCGGACACACCTCACGTCCCCCGTTCCCGGCGTGTCCTTTCAAAGGTGGGTTAAGGTCATTCTCTTGTTGCAGGACATTTCTCGTGAGCTGTGATTTTAAAAGCGAAGCATCGCCACACCACCAACGCTGTGGTCCATCAGACCCACCGCTGCCGGACACGCAGACCCAGGGACGCGAGACCAGCGCAGTGGCCGAGGCGGCCGTGGTGCCGCCTGACTGGAAATTTGGGGTCGCCCGGCAGTGACCGCCTGGTTAGAACACCTGGCCTTTCAGCAGCTGCGCTCAGCTCCCGTGCGGCACAGCGACATCTGCAGGGTGACGGGGAAGGGAGGAGGAGCCGGGATTTTATACCCAGCCCAGCGTTCCTCCAAGCTGGGCCCTGCAGCTACCTGGACGGCGGCAGCAGGGACTCCAGGACGCCGTGGCAGCCGGCAGCCATTGTCACGCTGGGCTGGCGGGGAAGCTGGGCTGGGAGAGCACCAGGAGCGTGGAGACCGTGCTTTGGGCCCTGCTCCTCCACGCCGCCGTCTTCCCGTCCCTCCATCCCCCTTCTCCACGTCCGTCCGTATGAGAACAGGAAGCGGGAGCCCTCTGCCTGCCTCAGGACAGGACGCTTGCGTCAGCGCAGGACGTCATGGGGAAGTGTCGCTGCTCCGCTGCATGCACGCTGCTCCGCTGTTCTGGTTTCCCCCGTAGAAGCCTCCCATTATACGTCTGTTGTGCCTGCTTTGCTGCGTCTCCTGTAGGCTTCCACTTTCTACAGCCTAAAAACTCACTGGTTTTAAAACTTTGTGCCCTTTTCTAGCATCTGCCTCTCCCGTCCCCGACTGCGTCTTCCGCCGTGTCTACGGTGGCCGTGCCCATCGGCCACGCACCTGCCTCTGTGTGGTTTCCTTACCGTTTTCCCGAGTGGCTCCTGCTTCGTTCCCTCCAGCCCTTTGGTTATTCATCTCTTTCCCAAACCCTCGCGTTTCAGCTCTGTGGTTTCCTTCTTAGCGCCAATCGTTCAAGTAGTTTTTTAAAAAACTCATAGTATAATATCAGATATTTTTTCTAGCGAGTATTCTTTATCCCATGGTAAAAAATTGGCTCTCCTTCCTGCGTTTTTCCTTGTGGCATCTTTTATTTTGATGTTATGCCAGATCCAGTTTTTCTGTTAAACATAATTCAATGAGCTGAACTTTTCCTGGACCGGCTATTCGCAGCCGGCGGGGAGAGGGGCTACCTGCCCTGGCCTCCAGAGGGACCTCAAAGGCACCCCTGCTCCTGCCACCTGAACTGACTCCACTCCTC